GTTTGGTGTGGGATCTGGTGTCCTAACAGTGATTTATACCACCTTTGTGGTTCTAGAGGACAGCCCATAAGGCTGTTCTGGCAGCTGGAGATTGCTGGAACTAAGGCCATTCTCAGCTGTCCAGTTACATAAATAAATCACAACTAACTTTGACAGATTTAATAAAGGACTGTGTGGAGGTATAAAGCAGAAAAAACAACAACCTAGGAATCAGTTGCTGGACATAAAAGCATATGTATGAGGCCTCCAACAGCACACATCTCAGGAAGTAGGATTCTGCCAGGAGGAAGCAAAGTCTGATGCTAGTTTGCAAAAGGCATAGGAGGGCAAATGAGTGATGAATAATGGAGCTTCTTCACCTGCAGGTTGTGGTACTAAGCGTTGCATAATGCAAAATGTATGTCATCAGGTTAACTTTCTCTAGACAGTTATTTAAAAAGTCAAAATGCTTGTGAATTTGAGGCCAGAATTACTCATATGACTCTTTTAAAGGTGTATTTTTCTGTGGAAATGTCTTTGTTATTAATCTTTTTATTTCTGTAGCTGGCATCTGCTGAAATTAGTACTCCTGTTTCTGCGAAGATGTCCAGGAGAAGAACTAAAGGAAACTCTCAGCCAGAAGTCATTCATGAATCTCAGGATGAGGGGTTGGAAGATGCTGAAACAAAATCAGATCTTGGTGATCCCTCTGAGGCACAAACAACTAAGAATAGAGACAGCAATGTGCATTCAACAAAATCAAGTGCTGAGCCACAGGCTGATGGAGATGAAGCAGAATCAAATTACTCTGCCGTGTCCGAACATGAGACACCTTTATTTATAAGGATAACAAGGAGAAGACAAATCACAATTCGTTATCAACCAGATTCACCAGCCAAAAATAGGCCTAGCAAGGCAGCTCTTCTGAGTGAATTAAGTAAATCTCAAGATGAAGATGTCTCTGAAGCTGAGTCATGTTCTTCAACTGTATCTGGCGTCTGTACAGCTAGTGCTACAAGAACTACGAGAAGCAGGAAATGCAAAGCTAAACTCCACCCAGATCCAGTTTGTGAAGCCCAAGCTGAAGAGGTTTCTGATGCAGAGTCATGGTGCTCGGGTCTTTGTGTGGAGCCATCTGTAACTACCAAAAGAATAACTAGGAGTATGCTAATGAAATCGCAAGCAGAAACCATTAGACAAACTGAGAAAAAAGTTAGTGAAGTTGTGCTGGAAGATGAGAAGTTAACTGAGGACAGAATTAAACCCCAGCCAGTAGTCATATCTGACTGTGAACATGTCACAAAATCTGATTCTGATACAGAGCAAAATTCCTCTCTTTCACCTAATAGATACGTCACTCAGAGTAATAAACAACCCAGCCCCTGCAAGACCCAATGCCAGACTGAATCTGCCAGTGCAAACCCAAGTGATGACCCAAAACAAGTTTTAATTGATTCAACACCCAGTAGTCCTAAAGAAACAGGAAAAAGTTGTACCATAGCATCTCCTAAAAAAGAAACAATAAAGGAGAGACACTTTGAAATTGTAGATAACTCAGAGGAAATGTTAGAAAAGGAGAGAGACATAACTGGAAAAGAATCAAAGTTGAAAAGTGTTTCTCTTTTTCTATCTGACCATGAGAGCCTTGATGAATCCTTTAAGTCCCAAAGGCAGACAACCCCAAGAAAAAGAAATATAATTCCAGAATACCAAAAAGCAGATATCGGGGAGGCTACACAGAGATCTCTCACCCATGCAGATGAATTAATGGTGGTAGGCAAGCCAAGTAGCACGACCACCAGCCCGCAAAAGGCCATACACCTATCACCAATTGGTGATTACAGTGATGGTGACTGCAAAATGTCTGATATCAATGTAGACAATAATGGAGGTCAAGCAGAACTAGTTACTAAATCCTCCCCACGTGTAACCAAAAGTTCATGTAATAAAAAGGTATCTGCTGTGTTGCTCCTGAGCAGTGATGAGAGTGATGAAACTGAAAACAGTGATGTGGAAGAAGTGGGTGACGTAGGAGAAAATCTGTATTGTGCAGAGACCAGAAATAAGAAGTCATCCTTGAACAAATCTTTAGAAAATGATTCATCGCATGGAGAACTGTTTGTAATTGACACAGAACCTGGTTTGGGCGGCAACAAGAAGTATTACCTAGAACAGGAAGATAGAAGGAGCGATGCAGAAAGTAAGGATGAAGAAAGAAGGAGTGATGCAGAAAGTAAGGATGAAGAACGTGAAAGAGATGAGGAGTCCTCAGATCTGGAAGATAATGAGGAGGAGTTCGTAGATGAAGATGAAGATGCATATTTATTGAAAAATAAAAAGCCTAATATGTAAGTGTTTTTACAGATAACTTAAGCAGCCACATATAATTCTAACAGGCATGTTGTTAGTCAAATAGTGAGGGAGTTCTTGTGATGATATAATCAATGTGTGAAATTGGAGTTGCTTGAACTCCAAAGTGGAATTATAGCTCTACAATTACCTATCTCCTAGAACTGGAAGGGACCCCGAAAGGTCATTGAATCCAGCCCCCTGCCTTCACTTGCAGGACCAAGTACTGATTTTGCCCCAGATCCCTAAGTGGCCCCCTCAAGGATTGAACTCACAACCCTGGGTTTAGCAGGCCAATGCTCAAACCACTGAGCTATCCATCCCCAACTAGTCTTTCTGTTATGCCTACATCCAGACACAGGTCTGTGACATGCAGAGGTTCCACCAGTGTGGCTGTGCTTTAAGGACCCTTTAGTGGTGTTTCCCTTGTCCAGCTGATGCCAGTTGGTTTTTTTAAAAATCTTATCACCACCTGAGGCTCTTTCCTTCCATTCTGTAGTGGTACCTTTCCTCACCACAGGAGTGGCTCTCCCCACCCACTCCAATACCTATTTTTGTTGGCTGAATCTCATAAAAATTCATAGTTTGTGTTCCTGTGAATTACAGAGCTCTTTAGATGGAGTGCAGCATTCTTAGTACTGAAAACACTGTCATTTAATCATCTTAAGTAGTTTTTGAAATAAAGCATAAAAAACTGGGAAGTTGAAAAAACAAACATCATTCCTTGTTTTTTCTTTAAGGTAGGTAAATAAAGACAAAGGTTTTTAAAACTTAAATGAAAGGGAGGAACAGGAACGCATGGGCACTGTCCAAGCTAATAATGGGTATTTGTGAACCCTGCCTATTTCAGTTCATTTGATGAAATAGTTCGCTATTTTGCTAAGTTAGCCACACATGCAAACAGATCACAGCCTTTTATTGTTCCAAGCATTTATAAAAATTGCTTTAAAATAAAGCATATTAAGCACCAGACCTGAGCCTAGAACCCAGGTGGTTCCATATCAAAACCTAACTAATTTGCCATAGTGTGCCGGGGCTAAGTCATTAAACTTCTTCCTTGGTTACCTTATATTAAAAAACCCTGCTTTGCATAGACAATGCTTTCATTTGTAGATTGCAAAAACCTTTGCAAAGGTAAGCTTGAGTAGCCTAGTTTTACACTTGCCCTAAGTAGAGAGATTTAACTGTCCCTGAGTTTGATATTAATAAATATAATGAGACTTTTAAAGCTCCCTGACTAAATTTAGGGTGTTTTGTTTGTTTAAGCACCCAAAATTTCACAAAACCCAGTAGTAAAACACTTTTAATATTTTATAATTAAAGTGAAAATGTTTGTTTAGTTTACACATCTCCCTGCAGTGTTTGCAACCCAAACTTTGCAGATTTAGGCTAGACTGAAACTTACTAGCCTGGGTTTGTTGTGTTAATTGCATACACATAGTTCACTGTTTTCTTAACATTTTATAGCTTTCATTAAACCTTTTCAACAGAAAACATGCCTCTCAAATTGACCATCAAACATATTTTATGAGTTAGTTAATTGTATTGCCAGAATGTAGTAAGGGGACAAATGGTGCAATGTGTATTACATTTTCAAAATGTAGTTTCTAATAATATAAAGTATTATTAGGAATACAGGCAAGGGCATTACAAGTCTCAATGTATGTCTGATGGTAGCAAACATACAGACACTAGTGTTCAAGAATCCAATATGTTTCTACCTCCAACTTGTTCTTCTGCTTTTACTTGTTCTTGTTGCTTCTTGCTCTTCTGTTTGGATTCCTTGTTAACAAATTACAAAATGTATAAAAGATAGGCAGTGACCTTGAATTTTTCATTTTGAAAGTCAAAAAACATTGAAAGGGAATATTTTGATAACGTAGTCTACATAAGATAGGAATGCCCAAGATAGGGATGCACCAAACAAGTCAGGGGAGGCTTTGTGGAAGTGATTCCCCTGTAGTTCTCTCCAACAAACTTTTATTAATAAATGTTATGCTTTATGCCAAGTGGAAGTACAGTATGATTTGCTATACCTATCTGTATTTCCACTTCCACTTTTAGTTGTGTAACCCCATTTCCTTTGAGCATTGCAATCGAGAAACCCCTTTATGACAGCTATCTGATATGCACCAGGAGTACAGAGGAGAAGGATAAGACATTTTCTCTGAATCCTGCCTTTCTTCAGAGGGCACACTGGAAGATCACTATAAACTTGTTAATATTACTGTAATGATTAACTAGCCATTTCTCTTTCAGTTTACATCTATCAAGCAGCATAGATCCTGGTCTAAATATCAACAGGCTTGGAGGCTTATATATTAGCTTTGATGCAGGAAAACAAAAAGCTGGCTCAAGTGCAATTAAACAGTTAAAGGGGGAAAAGAAAGAAGAGGTAATGTGAATCTAAGGTTATAATTTTACACAGATGTCTGGGATTCAAAGATGCTGAAATGAATCCAATTGTGACTTCTATTTAAAAAGAAAAGCCTTGCTAGTAGAGTTTGGAGGAAAGAGAAATTCTGTATGGTGAAAGCATTTACACCTCTACCCCGATATAACACGAATTTGGATATAATGCGGTAAAGCAGTGCTCCGGGTGGGGCGGGGCTGCGCACTCCGGCGGATGAAAGCAAGTTCGATATAACACGGTTTCACCTATAACGCGGTAAGATTTTTTGGCTCCCGAGGTCAGCGTTATATCGAGGTAGAGGTGTATTTAAATTTGTTTTTATGATAGGAATTAAATGTATATGGCATGTAAGAGTCTATATAGAGCCCTCAGTGCATTGTAAATACTGGGGATTATCCTTCAGAATAAGAAGTCCAGTCCACTCAAATACATGCCAGATATTTATCTAGAGATTATATTTCATGAATTGAGTTTCTGCTACACTGCATCATTGCAGTCCTAGATAATAATTCCCATACTGTCAGTTGTGAATGAGATTGAGTCTGATACTGTGCCCTCATACAGTTACACCCTCAGCAGGAACTAAAACTTGGTGCAAAACAGCACAGCAAAATTAGGTCTGCTCACAATGCTTAATATGAGAACTGCTGAGTTGAAGGGACATTTGACCCCTCCATACCTGTTTGGGATGGGATTTTAAGCTGACTGTCAGTGGGTGACAGGCATGCGTTGCTTTCCAGCAAAGTTATTTTCTTAGACAATCCCATCCCTAATGGGCTCATTTACTCTGCCAGCAGGGTCTGCTAGCTCACTTCTTCCACTGCCAGCCTGCTGCACTTTGTAGCTGGCCAGCCCTGTGCTCTTTGGTATTAAGAACTCCCACTTCCTCCATCATGGGGCGGGGAGGCTTGTCTCACTTAGCAACCATTTTATTGAGATGATGCTTACTTATGATTCCCTATCATTTCTCTGCTATCTTATTTGTGTAACCAAATGTGTAATACAATTCAGATCAGTCTCATCAGTAGCATGATTTAAACAATAACTTAATGATATCTTCTAGCTCTTGAAGAAGAGTATAATAACTCCAGATTTTGAAAAAAAGGACTGTGTTCCACCATTCAGGGAGTCAATCCATCAGATAAAGAAACAGCGCAAGGTAAGTGAATAGCCTCTGACTGTTACAGCATGGTAACATCTGGCCCTACTAAACCAGAATAAGCCTGCTTTTAATCTCCGTTATATGAAAATGTAGAGGTGGCATGCATGTGTAGCCCTCTTAAGTATATTGATTTATGAACTGCAAATTCATATCAGCATTGAACAGTAATATGAGATTCAGCCTTCTGGAAATGTTGAGACTAGAACAAAGACTGAAAGGGCAAATGCTGGTCCCACTGCCTGGCCTGAGGAGAATCCTTGTCCCAGTTGCAGAGTTGATTAAATTGGCGTGTTTTGAAAAGGTTTGGGGCTTCCTTGTCATCTTGTTTCTCTATATTTTTTATAAGAATATCTTTGCTTACCTGGTGACGTCTGCGTAGTTTGTTGTTTTGTTCTTCAGAATGTTTGGGAAACAGAGATCAGGTCCTTGGGAAGCACCAGTTGCTAAGGTTAATTAATGCTGATCTGTAAAATCAGACTGTAAAGTTCTCTGAAATATACTCTTAAATAATATGAACTTTTATTTTAAATGTAGCAATCCTTTGCTTTTTCCTTCCTCTTCACCACTAAAGCTCTTCAGTGCAGTTTTATTGTTCTTTATATTGTGTCATAGGCAGAGCGAGAGAAAACAACAGGTGATGGCTGGTTTGGTATGAAAGCTCCAGAAATGACAAATGAATTGAAAAATGATCTAAAGGCTCTGAAGATGAGGGCTTCCGTGGACCCCAAACGTTTTTACAAGAAGAATGATAGAGATGGTCTGCCCAAATACTTTCAGGTGAGGAACCAGGAAAAATAAAGAGATCCTATTACTACTTTTCTAGTCCAGAACAGTTATGCTTATTTCCTATCTAGTTATTTTTAGACGCCCATTTGTCTGAACTCACTTTTACAATTAGATGCATAGACTATAAAATTATGTTGTTTTTCATTTACTTACAATTTTTGAACTTGATTACAGTTTACAAGTGGGATTTTGTTGCAACCAACTATTTAGCCTTATCTATGTACTTCTATATATGCCCGTGTTGTTTTTTTGCTTGCTGACTTGTAACTGATGTCACAGGATGGAAATACATCCCTTTGTTTTCAAAATCTGTTTTCACGCCACACAATGGCAATAAATTTGTATCTAATCTTTCAGATTTTGCAGGTCTTCTCTACTATATCAGTCTTTTTTACAAGTCTATAATAGTAATAATAATCAGTTCTCTTATTAGTCAAGATTCTCTTTTGTGGACTGGCGCCATTGATCCACTGAAATTCCTGCTACTGTAGCTATTGCAGCTTAATGTATTTTGTGGTTTGACAGTAATTGGAAACTGGTGCAACTTGCAGGAAATCTGAAATTGTTTTTTATATTTTTAGTTAAGTTCTTAGTCCTTTTCTGCCTCTAGCTATTTGGCATATTCAGCACACATTTACAAATATTCATTTTTCTCAAAACATTGGTGGCTTGCTTTCAAGGCTGAGCGTTGTTAATATGCTATTGTAAGTTTCCTGTCACGATAGTACCTGGTGGCATTCTATTTAATTAAGATCAAGATACACATTTTACCACACTAGGAAATACATGCTCCATGGGCCTCCCTTATCCCCATGGTGGCCAAACCAACTCAGAGAAGTGTCAGCTATGAATCAATGGGAGTTGAAGTGGGTTCAACATTTTTCACGCTAGGGCCCTTAAATCCTGTACTGGGTTAAAAGGTAATAGTAATTGCTGAGCAATAACTTTGTAGTGATAAAGGACAAGACCTGTGAAAGATTTAATTGCCCTCTCTCAAGTAAACAAAAATATAATCCTATATAAATTTCGAGAGCTAGGTTGTGATTACCATGGTAGGGACTGGTGCAGCAGTCCCTATGTTCAGAACTTCACTGTTTTCACATGCTGTTCTTTGGATTAAACATGAGAGGAAAAATGGTGATTATGCATACAAAACACTGCTTGTTTCTTTTGGCACTTTGCATTACAGCTTCTCATGATTCTTCCCATTTTTCTCCTCAAACACCTGGGACTTGTCATTAAAAACAAACAAAAACCCTGGTATTATGTTGCAGGAAGGCTCATTTTTAAATTTTCTTTTCCCAGGTTGGGACTGTGGTTGACACTCCGATAGACTTTTACCATGCTCGAATCCCCAAGAAACAAAGGAAGAGAACCATTGTTGAAGAGCTGCTTGCAGATTCTGAGTTTAGGAGGTATTTTAAAATAAGCAGCTTTATAACTGTAATACTACCAGTATGATCCATATGAGACAGAAATGTATTACAATTTTGATTAGAGTAACTTATTTTTTCCTTTCAATTAACTTGAATTACTTCTTGTATTTAAAAAAAAAAAAAAAATTAGAGCCAGCTTAGTGCCACCACGAGACACTTCCATTCCAGAGATCAGAGTAACAGGAGTAGATCAATTCATGCTTTACTGAATTAGATGAGTACATTGGAAGCAGTATGCGCTATATAAAAGTTATCAGTTATCTAATGGACTGTAGGAAGTGAGTTGGTGGTCTCGGTTTAGTTCCATAATGGAGACAGAAGTCAACACAAGTGGCAGTCTTGCCACAGAGCCTATTGAACTGGGCCTGATCTATCTCCTCTTTTCTGGAAGTGACTTTTGCAGAATAGGATTCAGGCATGTTGATGGGGAAATGAAAGTGAACCTGCTCTGCTGCTACCTGTGCTGTAACTATGCATATAGATGGAATTTTAGTTTACAGGGTTGTCAGTCTGGCACCTTTGTGATAATCAAATTTCTCTGAAATTTTTTGTAAAGAATGATTTAATGAGTTAATATTTGATCATCTATAATTCTTGGGGTGGATTGGCGAACCTAAACCATTTTGCATATTGGTCTGTTAACATGATACCCTGTTGCAGTTTCTCATCTTTTCATATAAATGAAGAGAACCAGGGTTGGGATACCAGGAGTTGATTGCAGGTCAGGATTTTAAATGTATTGGCAGCGTAGGGTATGGAAACTTCAATAGCTATTTCCTACCAGTATGATTAGCTTTAGCCAGTAGTCTTTCATAGGCACTGATTAATTCAAAAATATTTATTAAAAGCAATGTTTAAAGATGAATTGCTCACAAAACCTGATAATTTTAGCATTTGTGAGTAATTAATAAAGTAACTGAATAAAGCACGTGGGTTTTACAACTATTTGTCAAGTTTCCTGTTGGCAAACAGCAGCCTCAGCAAGCACGAAAATGTTGACATTGTTCACGCTGCTAATTGATGCAGGAACAGGAGAATCTGCCCTGGGAAAACAGCTAAAGTTAGCCTGTCTTCACTATGTGTGTGCTATGTATTATTTAATATTAATCTTAGTCTTCTCGCAAATCTTCGATATAAGACTGATTGTTAATATCAAAGAGTACACTGAGAGGTTAACATAACATTCAACATAAACTACTGACAACATTAGTGGTATTGGCATCACAGCTCTTGCTGAGCCTGGTCATCGTTAACAAAGAGACAGCCTTTAGCAAGCAATAAAACATGTTAGAAGTCTCATTGTGTGCGTGATGTAAAAATCCATTGCTACAGGTAAGAGCTGCTAATGCAAAATGCTTGGGTGTTTTTAAAATTTGCATTTCACTTAATTATTGCTTTTTTCCTCAGAGGAGCTTGCCTGTAAACAGACTAAAATGCTTCATTTATGTTGTGTGATGCAGCAGTCCTTTTCCCCTAAGTTTTTGGTGGTGATAATTCTACCAGCAGTATTTTAAAAAAAGATTCCAAATATTTGCCTATCGCATCAGCACTATCGCATCAGCACTACCAGCGTCACTTCTCCTTTACTAGTCATACACTTATCAAACTAAAGAAGTTTGAAACAGAAAACACAAGACAAAACTGACTCTGGCAAAATATGTATTTTGTATCTAGGATTTTTGTAGGTCACACTCATCTTTTACTTTGTGATTTGACCTATTTAATAAAAGTAAATTGGTTTTTTTTGTTGTTCAGATACAATAAAAGGAAGTACCAGGAGATCATGACTGAAAAGGCAGCTCTTGCAGCAGGCAAGAAGAATCGGAAGAAGAAGAAATTTCACAAATAAGACTAGGAGAAAATAACAAGATGAAACTCTTTTTTTTTGTTGTTTTGTTTTTAATTATAAAATTGTTTACAGAACATATTGGTGATTGGTTTAAGATTGAAGCTGTCGTACTGACTGAGTTAGGACAGGGCTGGCCCTGTTTTAGCAGTAGTATTTTGACGGGAGAAGGAGATTTGAGAAATGCAGTGGGATTTTGTTCTGTGGACTGGTCTAGACATTCAACAGAGACAGCATGATTCATTCTTCATAGAAAAAGGCAAAACCAGACATCCTGTACAAATAAATAGTTGATGGAAATGGTCATGTGAAAGAGCTGAGATTAAAAAAAAAAAAAAAGATTGTATTTTAATGGAAAAACCTTTGTTTAAAAAACTGAGGATTCCAGTTTTTGTTTTGTGAGAAACTAGAAAACCTGCAGGCACTTGTCACTAAAGACTCCTAGTTACTGAAGGAGTTTATAAAAACACAGGTATTCAACCTACAGTAATAATCAGTGATTTTTTTAAAATCTCATTGAGCAGCAATTCAGATTTACTGAACAATGATACTTCAAAATCATAAACTTACACCTGTACTGTAAAAATAACATTTTATTATGTGCTGTACAGGAAAAATAAGCTGTCCACAAATGGAGATGAGTTTTAACAGATTTCAGGAGGCTTTATCAGAGTTATCTTGAAGTGGATGTTCATGTACTATATTGGTCTAATGTAATGTTAACTTAAAAGGTAAAAATATAAATATCAAGGGATACTGCCAAATCTAAGGCATCATCACTTTTGTCTACTTCTTGGTCTCTGTAGAGTCTAGGCTCTATTTACATAATTTATGAAGCACATTTTCTATTGAAAGAAGCTTACATTTCATCTTTCCCTTGTTACACTGCTTAATTAAGTTAGTTGTTCCTTATCCATTGCCTCAGTAAGAGGAGGTGCTGGGCTATTCTTTAGCAGCGGTTAATGAAAAATGACTTGTGCATGGATATGGTTCTTGCATGCTATTTTAAAAGTAATTATTCTTGTTCAGCTTGATCTCTGGTGGTGGAGTGTTCCACATCTGAAGACTGAACATAGCATGGTGCAGATTATCCTCTAGATTCTACATATCTATCTTTTTAAAATCCACTTTTTTTTTGTTGCGGGTTTATGTATTTTTACCACTTGTCTGTTTTGCCATTGATATGAAATGACTTCATGGGGTCAGTCAGTTTTCTAGTATACACAGACTGCCACAACTGGTATTATGGTAATTGCTATTCTTGTTGGCAGTTTTTGCTGAGAAGCTAAGAACTGAATGGATGAGGAAACAGAACTCTTTTCAACCCTAGTGATAGTCCCTCCAAATCAAGATTGAGGGAAACTGGTACATAGATGTGGGAAGCTTGCACTGCCCCTGCAGATTCTCTAGGTGCCATGCACTTCAGTTCCCAGACCAGTCAGTCCATCACCTTGCATAATCACGTGTATTTTCAGTAAAAGTTTAAGCTGTCTTTTGAATGATCCTACAGTATTTTTGTACTGCTGTTGCAGCTAATATAGTTCATTAAATTAATTACTAATGTTAGGATAGAGAATAATACAGAAAACTTAACGGTAGAACAGAAGTTGATGATAGGAAATTATTGGTACTTCATTCAACAATAGTGGGATTGTATGGGGTGGACTGTCCAGGAGAGGAAAGGAAAAGAAAAACTGAGGAGAGATCATAGACGTAAAATGTGTAGAGAGAGCCTTCACGGTCCTATTTTATAGCTTCCGACAAAAGGAAATTTGATTTAAATAGTGTAGTAAAAAAATTTTATTAAGAGATTGGACATTTGTGTCTGAAAATGTCCTCAGCTCTGAGCAGCTAGGATAGACTTAGAAGAGCTGTCAGCCCTCATGGCTCAAGCCATACAGTGATCACCAACTGAAGTTAGGAAGAAATGCCCCCATGCCTCTCTGTCTTGCATTTATGTTTTTTCTAAAGCAATCCAGCATTAGTCACTATTGGAGACAGGCTAGGACCAAGATTTTCAAAAACAATTACAGATTTTGGTTGCCCAACTCAACAACTTATAGAGGCTTGGCATTTTGAAACTGCTGAGCTAAAGTGTCAAGTTGGGGACATACAGATACCCATCCCTTCTGCAAATCTTGGCTGAGATGTAGTTTCTGTTCTACTATCGTCATTCCTGTATTTGTGTATCAGAGCTGTGCATACATCATTGATGATAATACAAGGAAATAAAACCAGAACTGTGCTCTCTTGTGCTCTGTAAGAAATGTGGAAGCAGAAGAATATCAATATTGGACAAACAGGAAAGAACAAAATTGGAATAAGAAATGTTTTCAAGTGTTTAAGAGTATTATGAACAATGGTCATATGAACTTGTATACAATTATACAGAATTTTTGTAGCTATTTTAAAATTATTTAAATTAGAATATATTTTTTGTGCAAAGAGTTTGTGACATTTTAAAATAAGAGGAAGATGTGGTATCTTAAATTAAAAGCTAACTTATTGACTATGCTAACGTTATTATTGAGGCATAATATCATGCCTGCACTATTTATACAAGACTGATATAAAAGGAAAGATACTAAGAAAATGTTAGAAACTGTTTAAATTTAGAATTAAAACATGAGCACATTGCTGCATTCTTGAGTTCTAATTAAAGAATGCATAGGCTTCCATTTGGCACAATATGAAATAGAACCAATCAAAAGGCCAAATCACTGATAAGCAACACAGATAAAACAAGCCTATCGAAAATAGATTTATAAAAGAACAGTGTGTTTTGAGAAACTTCATTTTTTGTGTGTAAACAGTATGTAATAAACTAGCTTGTTTGTTTGTTGTCCTGTACTGGAATGACCTGCTCAGATATTTGTTTGTAATCATACTGCTTTCTATAGGCTGGCCTGAAAACATAAGCTCTACTATTGCCAAGAGAGATTCCTCTTTAGTTCATGGGGTAGAAACCTGTGATTTTTGGAGCAGCAGGTGATGTGGTTCTTTTTTCTATATACAGTATGCATTTGCTGATGGCCTAGGTGTCCCTAGACTGTTGCATATTCTCTGATGAATATTAAGAGTAGGTTTGTTTTCTTGTACTCCTTGCCAGTCTATATCCATCTTTTGTCTCTTGTCTTATGCTTAGATTGTAAGCTCTCTGGGACAGGGACTGCATTTTTGTTTTTTATTTGTACAGTGCCTAGTACAATGGGGTCCTGGTCCATGACAAGGGCTCCCAAGCACTACCGAAATACAAATAATAAAATATAATGAAACTATTCGTAAAGAATCAGATCAGCAATGGTACCATGATCAACTTGGTACTATTAATATGGTGCCATTACAATGGCTTGTAGTGAACAAAATTAAGACACTGACTTTTATGCAGCTGATTTCTCAAACTACTTTCTTGACCTTTCCCTGACTCTCCAGTCTCTCTTTTTTTTTAGTTGCCTCTCCGACCACCAACTCGGTCTTTCCAAAATGGAATGTGTCTTTTCCTCTAATTCCTCTTCCTTTCCATAGAGAACACCACTCTGTCCTTCGTGTTATGTGACTCTCTTCTAACCACGTAGTGAATATTTCACAAAGTTGTCACTTTCTCTTTAATCCACCCTTTCTCCACTAAAAGACTTTGGCCATATGCTGTTCATCATTCTTTGATCACTATAACCTACTCTCTGGCCTCCCTGCTTTTCATATCCTTCTGCTTTTCAATTGGTCCAAAATTCTGCACCTAATGTAGTCTTCTGCTTTCCCTCTCCAACCATGTCACTTTTCTTCTTGAATTCCTCTATTGGTTTTGTCTCTTACTGCATCATGTTAAAATTTCTTGCCACCTAAAAGACTTGGCCTTTTTGCTCTTTTCTCCACTCTCAGCTGGGTGCCTTCTATCATACTTGCCCCCTATCCCTGGAGAGCTTTCCCTATCCTTATCTGCCCACACTCCCCTCTTCAAGTAATCCTTCCTTTCTTCTCATTCAAAAATCCAACTTATTCTCTTGAACTCATTTACAATGTAAGCTCTTTGGGGTAGCTTATTTAGCTTTGTAAAATACTGTGTACATTCACAACATTATTGTATAAATGATTTGTAATAATATAAGAAAAGGTCCCTGCAATGTAAATTAGATAAAATTCCATAAATGATAGCATCTAGAGCATGGTGAGTACAAGGATAGGGGCATGGTGGAGGAGAAACAGTAAACAATGGGAAGGAAATATATCTGTTGGGTAAGTGAAGCATTTACATAGAAAACAGATTCCATAAACTATCTCATACTGTTTCACTTTTTTTGTAATGGGTAAGAGTCAGAGCTGAGATAAATGGTGGAAACAAAACCAAAATGTGAGTTCTGAGAAGAGATTTGAAGCTGCATAAGTCAGCTGGCGCAAAGAAGAGGGAAACTGTCTCAGACAAAATTAATTCACTGCTATGAATATGGTGCTTGGATTAATGTCTCATGCTTTGAAAGAAATGCCTCTGTCACCACCACATTTATGTGGTAGAGGACCATTATACTGTGCCAGTATTGCATTTATGTTAGTAGCCACATGTGTTTTATTGTAAGTTTGTTGGGCCTACTTCTTCTCCCTTAGTGATTTTGTTTTTAAAATCTGACAGACAAGTGGCATGATTATAATTAAAGCAATTGGCAGGAGAAGGAGATGGAGCTGTAGGAGAGATTATGCAAGATGGAAAAGACTATATTAATGCACATGACTAAAAGTCAGAGGATTTGAAATTTTGAAGATTTTTTGCTAGTGTTTAATTGGTGGTGGTAAAATAGGGCTTCCTCTTTCTTGCTGGGTTTAAAGATGATTGAAATGCTTTTTTAATCACTTCTGTAATTTTTGAATGTGCATTTTTTAGAGGAAAACAATAACAAACATAACAGGCCAAATTCAACACTAACTTCATTGCAGTGCCCTCAAGGATGAATTTGACTTACTTTTAAATAAACTTGTTTGAAAATTTTCTTCCTCAAATGATCAGTGCAAATGGGGTGTTTCTTTAAAGAGAACAGTAACTTATTTTGTATATTTTGCATGCACTAGGATAGATTGTACCTACAGCCTAAAGACATTGCAGCTACAGGATTGCTTTTTTGCGAATACGTGCTGTTTT